GAGCTTGTCAAAATTAGAAATTAAAATATGTCCGTAAGTGGTATTGGAATGGCGGGCTTTCATAGAAACCTATGCACAGTAAATTTTAAAAAACGTTTTTGTACCGATTCGATTTGATCCACGTACGACTTGTAGTTCGAAGGTCGAACTTCAATGAAATTCTCAAAAATAGACCTACATATGTGATAAAAGAACTTTTATTAATATAAGGGTCTTTAAATTCAAACGATCAACGCTTAATAAATCCCAGCAGGGCTGTCGTTTTATTAACGTAGATTTGAACCTGCAAATTAAAGTTCAATTTAGCATCGCTTACAACCAGCAAATTAGTAAAGCACGAAACACTCTCCACCATATGGGAACCAGTAAAATAGTCAATAGCAATCCGAACTTGACCACAAAACGTTACTTGTACCAAGTTAAGTGACACGTTGTTATACTTTGCACCAGACATAAAACTCGATCAACGCCGAACACAGGCATTTGTTATCCGCAAAGATATTAAAAGAATAAAATAACTGGAGATCGTCAGCAAATATAGCGCTATTGAAAATTGTAAACATGATAGTTGTCGTTAGTGAACAAATTAAAGAGCAGCGGACCCAAATAATTATATAGAATATTAACACAAAGGGTCAAGACGTAAGATGATACACCATTTGGACTTAAAATTATTTATACAAACTTCTCATTGTAAAGATGACATGCTTTTCGGCCGTTAGTTTGAACGTTGGAAAATGTTATCTCGGAACCAGATAATAAGATGCATCATAGAGAAACTGTATTATACTTTGTAATAGTTATGAATTTACCCATAAATTATTTAAGTTAGACCAATGTGCTTTCCGATCTATATCTTCATTGATCCGTCTAGCTAAGCTGTTTGGTAAATCATGTTGCCGCAAAATGTCCATTTCCACATTTTCAGCATAGAAATGAACATTATTATCGTGGCAAAATGGAACTAAGTCATTTATGAAGTCAGTAAACAATAAAAGTCCCATTTTCTCATTCAGAACTGTGTGTCATAATAATAAGGGCACCGAATTTTTAAAGTTTTTTATTCTATATATAATGTCATCACACTCATCCATGTACTAAATTATCTTATTACAATTTTTCCCTACTACTGGGAAGTAGTGTTATGATCCCAACAGGGAAAAGAGTTACATTGAAATTCGCTTGCTATACACTTTCATCTTAGCCATAAGGCCGAGAAGCGATGTTTGCTATATACAATTTCTTGAGATGGAAGGGAAACTAACAGAATAATAATATTCAAGGAGGTTATTTTAAAAAAATTAATAACAACACCGCCGCCATTTTCGACGGATATTTTTAATTGAATGTGCCAATTTGAATCTAAAAACAAATTATTTAACCTGCATGTCTATAGCTAGCGGAACATACGGAGGTTTTTAAAAATATTATTGTTTGTGTGTTTTAAAACGTTCAGCATTTGATCAGCAAACAGGCACTCTTTTGCAAATGTTTAAATAAACTTATTGAATATTCCCTATATGTTTCGTTACAGAATGTTATTTTGAAGATATTGTAAAAAGCTTCAGTGAAAAGTGCAAAAAAGTGGAAGTGATATTTTCGAAGTTTTTGAAAAATTGTGTTTGAAGAAAAGTTCGTTTAAAGAGTTGGGATGTCTAATAGATACAATTTTATGTTATAATACAGTTTTTATTAAATTTTGCAATTATTTTCGAATGTAAGTGCCATATAACTGTTGTCCCACGTTTAAAAGTCCTTTTGCGTTCTGCTTCTGTCAAAGATAGAATCACAACTTGTACACTTTACATGAGGTGTTAGACAGAACAGCAAAAAAATTTATGATTCTATAGTTAAATTTACAAATGAAACCAAAACCTTCATCTCAAACTTTTAATTTTGTAGTAGAATCCTTTCGAATCATTCTAGGCCTTATATTTATTCAAAGATCATCTCAATAAACCCACAATGCTTGGTTTCACCGGCAATCCTTTTGGGGAAAAAGACGAAAATTTCAACAAACACAATTTTTTTCTGGGTAATGTAGTTGGTCAATATATTCTGGAAGGCTGAGAACATCTCTTACGCCAGCAAAAACAATTCTGAAGAATTTACAATTGTTCTCTTTTTTAACGTCGATAGTATAAATGTTAATTAAAAAGATCGGCGTGCTTACTTAACATTCCTCGATTTTAAATTTCTTGTATTATAATATACAACATTTTTTCCCTGTGTAAAATCTTGTTTGGTTAAATATACGCCTCTGCAAGCAGGTGTTATATGACAAGCTTACAGGACTATCACAGAAAGTATGCAACTGATACCGTAAATTTCTAGCTCCGATATAAATAATTGCTCCAAAATATTAGCAAAAAAAATTTGGTGGCGTATGACGATTGTTTTTAAGATGATTATTATATCCGCCATCCAAGAATAGAGGTGTATTCATTTTACCGAAACTTTTACAACACCCTAAAGGGAGCTTCTAAAATGTAAAAAAATTCGGTTTCAAGGGAACACCATTTGTTTACTTGTCCTTCTTAGTCTTTCTTAGGGTAAGAATGATGGGTATAAAGGATCCAATTCCAGCCGTATATAGTTTTTTCACTTGTTTAGCCCCCTTTAAGCGAAAAAACTTCTATTCAGATATTTTGCGTACGAAACTAATTACTTTGAGAAACAAAGAATAGATTGGAAACATTTCATAACACAATTTATTTTCTTTTTTCCTAAACTCGGGCGCCGATATCTTCAGTTTTCGATTACCTTTCGATATTTTAAAGACGATTTTTCTTGTACTACCAACATCGTTAAAGGAAAAATGACTAAATAACAAATGTAATTGGAATCCCTTTTACACATGTGCGTTTACACCTATGCTATTCTTATAATTGTAAACACTGTCACGTACCATCTTGTCATCGCAGCAACTGTTTATATATAAACATTTACCAACTCTTCTTGGGTCTTCATACTCTGCCCCACTTGTGGAACAAGATATATTAAATTTATGCGGATGTTTGTTACACTCGGAACGGCTTGAGGTACACCCACCTTTTATTATAGCGACTCACGATCGTTTTCTGAATCGATCTAAACCTGTATATAGTCCGCTTGTCTGATATTTACTTACATATAGTTATGTTCAATTGACAGGTCGAAATTTTTGAGATATAGAAATGGTTGGTATATGCAAACTTTTCCTACATAGTATTTACAGCGTAAAGTTTTCTCTAAATGACGAAATATGATATGCATATACATAATAGCTTTCAAGGATAGATGTAATAATATAAACGGAATGTTGTTATTCAAACAACAAGTTCTTCAAGGAAAAACTCGCAACGACTAGAAGTAAGCTTTCTAGAGTTTAAAAAACTGATAACGATGTAGATATATTTGTGTGCCCGTCTGTTTGTGTATGTTTTTAATGAACATCGCTCCGATCATCAATATGGAGATACGAACTTCTAATTAAGCAAAACCTTTAGACGTTCTCGAGCAGATGTTGTTATTGACAATGGGTTAAATTGATTAAAGAAGTGAGAACTTTTCTTTTTTTCAGTTTTTTGTTCATACTAATAAGCTACGGTAGATAGATACAAAGGGAAAAGTTTCTGCGTGTACTCTGATCCAACGGGTGATCTAACGGTAGCCCTATAAAAATTGAAAAAGGCATCCTCTCCCACGCGCTATTATAGTGGAACAATATTTAAGTATTTTTTTTTGTTTTTTTCTTTAACATAAAAGAGATAAGTATAAAAGATTCGGCCATGGCCGAATATAATTTTCTTACTTGTTCCAATTTGATTTGTTGCTTTCAACAAATTTAAAATATTATAAAGCTTTTTACAATGTTAAATGTTCATAAAATCAATAAGAACGCAAGTTCTTGTTCTATCTGTCTTTTCTACAACAAAATATTTTGAGGAAATATGTTTTCTTTGTGAGAATTTTCTATTTTCCAATGATACTTTTATAGAGAAATAATAATTTTTACGATTTTATGAATATTTAAAGTACTTTCCAAGTTATTCATTAACACTAAACGTATCATGCGCGGTCAAATAACCGTTTTTAAAATTTTGTTTAAAATTTCTCGCATTCAACGTTATTGTATCATCATGTGGCTTATTGACTTTTCGTAAAATATACATACATCGAAAAGCGGGGAACGAGTTTTTATTGTAGCATCAGAAAAATATTTTGTTTATTATCTACTTTACTAAGATACATACGTTTTTTTGAAGCGGTCATATGATCGCTGATGGTAGGATGAAGTGTCGGTACGTTTAGTGTTAAAGAGTTTGCCATAGTCTTTTTACAATTTGAAAAATTGTGTTTTAAATGATATATAAATAAAAAATTACTTGCATCCATCACCTTAGCGTATGAGTGATTTCTACTTCGTTTTTTTCATTCTACCCCGCTTACAGTGAGGATTAATTAATTTGTATGGATGTATGCTATAGCAAGTTTTGGTAGACGACTTGCAATATACCCTGCCTTTTATAATATAAGTCGATTACAAATATGCAGAGCAAAATTTTCTAAATCGGCTTAGGCCCTTATGATCATCTGATATTTTGCTACGCACTTTTGTTCTGAGTCTACAAATAGCAACTTTTTATATTGAGCAAATTTTCAAAATGTTATATGTAAAAAGATTTTTTCTTTAACTTGTCGTGTTTAATAATTTTATTGTTTTTTGGCAGTTTTAATGATTTCAATGATATAAGCCTTTTCAATAATGAATTATTCATTTTTTATCTAAGGAAGTCTTATTCACTTTGCTTTGATTTTTCCATAAATTTGTTATGCGTTCGATGTGTATATAGGTCATCGCTTAATTTTAATTACGCATTGCGCGAAGCATTTTAAATTACATAGTCAACTGGAATATGATGAATATGGAAACTTTCGAATGAACCTAATTTTTAATGAGCTGTTAACTTTGAATTGTATGAGGCGGGCTGATATAGGATGTCAATAATCGGCTTTACTCGACCATAATATTTTAACTAATTTTGTAGTCATTTAAGATATTTATCTGAAAGAAGAAGAAAAGAAGAAAACTGAAATAAAACTTTTTATAAATGAGAGAAGTGTGTTTGGTACCTATAGAGATGTATGCACATGTGTGGACGTACTTTCTAGAATTGCTATAATACCCACTACATTTTATTTTATCATTATATTGTATTAAATTTATTTCTTGTTTGCATCATTTAAAAGCGACGAAATAAATACACACACACACACACACACACAAACTCTTTCTAATAAAGGTGCTCTGGGAATTGGACAGAACGAAGAGATAGCGGGCTGAAGGGAGAGAAGAGAAATGAAATCACTAACATCAAGAGAGGCGCACTGAATGCACCCTTTGCGAAGTAATAATTGACGATGGGCTAACGACGGAGAATGTCTGAAGAAGTTTGTGTGTCGCGGCGGGGTGTGGTAGATTTAGTACGCGTAGTCGTCATAGATGGCGAATCAAACATGCTACTGATGTGGACCGGTAGTATCTTTGGAAGGTTCCTACGTGCAATTCGCAGAACAAAAAAAAAAAACAGACACACGCACACACTCAAATAAATAAAATTCTGCATGCCAAAGCTGGTGCTACATGAATAAACCGACAAATTCGTCTTTAATTTGAATACAATGGAGAATGATAATGTTTGCAAAAGATGAAGAATGAATAGAACAGCGAAAACAGCAATAACAACAGCAGTAACTATTACCGCTACTATGTAACGGAGATTGATTGTCATCGTCATTTGTTATTACTATTATCTTATTTTGTAGGCTACACACATCGGCCCGACAATTCTATACTCATAGCTGTTGATATGTTTATGTGTGCTTGCTTGTTTGTATATCTCGACATAGTCACGAGTTTATTGTTAAAATCAGTTGAAATTCTCATGTTCTTTCAGACATACAAACATTCACAAAACTTTGCTTAAAATAATAACAAGTAAGGAGATTTTAAAACGACACGCACACACAAACATCTTGCAATTTTACATATTTATACACAGATGTGAACTATTTTATGTTAAGCTGTTTTTTTCTTTTTTTTTTTATCTCTTTTAGTGAATGTTGCGATTCTAGTGATTTTCTAGCGGCTCTTTTTGTTGAATTTAATTTGTTAATGTATATGTTGGTTTTGAACAGAGCGGAACATAAACGATTGTCGAAAAATGGTCATCAATTCTTTCCGTTTTTGGAATTTGAAAGAAAATTATAATTATTTGCAGTTCTTTCACTAACGATGCGTTGCTAACATCGTTGATGTAGTCCAGCGTATAAATACTTTATACATGTTGAGTACAGATACTAGCAAGCAAGATTTGTTATATTTGTATTACTCGATAATCATAGAGAAGCTAAAATTTCAATCAATTGAATCGACAATTACGTCTCAAAAACCTCAAACATTGCCAGTTAAGAAGCAAAGCTAATACTAATCAACTAAACTTTGTATTTACCAGCAACCAATTATCGAAGATATTTTGTCTTGTCGAAGCTGACACCCAGTCGCCATTATAATGGTTGAAATCTTGGAATATTCTCTCTGTAGCTATGTAATGAAACTGCGAAATCGACCCAAAGTTAGTCATACCCTTTTACCATGAAGACAAAGAGAATAAATTACCAAATCCATTAAATTAATATACCCATCGTTACTTTATTGCAAACCGAAAGTCATAATTAGTATATAACGATAGGCAAAGACTTATAACATACTTATAACCTATAATAGCCCTGACAAACAATTGCACTTAGTGATCAACTGTTAGGTAAACAATTAACATATCTCTTACACAATTTACTAGAAAAATTCTCATCAGTTGTCCGCTGCGTCCGCAAGTAAAGCATCCCGAATATGTGTCTGGTGTTACTATTATCTAAATTTGTATTTTTTGCAAAACAGGATTTTTTCAAGAAAATTGATTTTATTAAATTATGGGACTTTTGTACGGAACACTGCGAAATGTTTGACCTGACATTTTAACATAAATTATTCGACTAACTTTTCCTCACAAATTATTAGAGTTAGAGTATGGGTAATATTTACTTTATGAGATTTCGTAACTTTCTGTGTGATATATAAAGAATATATGAAGCTCATAATGCTTTGCGTGCATTTTAGGCAGGCTTTTTGATTTCCAGATCCTTCAGCGAATTTCCTTTTATATCTTCAACTGCATAGATATATTATTGTTACTTTCATAGTCAAGACTTAGCCATCTTAAATAGGTATAACGATTCTTACTTCCGTCATTTGTATTTCTAGCTAAAACCACTTCCACATTGATGAATTAAAGCTACATTTGGAGATAGTTCGGATTCAAACGTGAGACTACGCATTCAAGCTACAAAATATGAGCCAGAATGTTAATTAAATAAATAAATATTTTTTATCCCATAATTTAAGTTATACAGTGAACGGTGGTAATTACATTATATATCTGTATGATAAATATAAGAACGATGAAGATATTGCCAAAAAAAAGAAGGCATATTTACGGCAAATTTTGCTTAGAAATGGGCTTTTCTATTAAATTAGGGAATTTCAAAATCGTTTCAGAATCGCAAGGACCGACATGGGAAAGCGTTCAAATATTATATTAAGCCTTTGAGATAATTTATTGAACAATACTCATATTCTCAAGCTAAATTTATGAACCTTTCAATTGTTTCGTAATGTGAAAGGTATTTTAGGATTGGAAAACTATTGCAATATATGATATTTACATTTCGGAGAAATTATATTCAGTGGAATTTTAATAAGGAAAACGGTTACAATTTTTTTTGTCCGAGAACTTTTCCCGACTTAGCGAGAAAAAAAAAAATTGTTGCTTAAAGATTTTGTCAGGCATAAAGTTATATTAAGGACTTTTAAATATTTGTCCATCTATCTAAAAACCTCCATAAGCGACTGTGCAAGTTTTTCAAAAGAAATTGAAAAGAAGAAAACACAGATGAAAGGTACTGATATGAAAATAAGAACAAGAACAGCATTAATATCAGAAATTTCGAATTCAGACTCAACGCCACAAAGTGCTTTAAATGAGTGACCATTCGTATCAAATTAAGCGGGGCTTTTGAAAATAAATAAAGAAGACATAAAAAAAAAAAATTAAAAACACAACAACAAGAATGACGATGCAGAGACGAGGGATAAAAACATCTAGCCGTACAATAGCTTCAACGTATGCTATAGAGCTCAAATGAATTTAGTCAATAACAACGGTGAGGCAGTCAGCTCAATGTAACGCGAGAGCATCATACAGTAATTCTAGTAACAAAACAATTTTCAGAAAAAATAACGTTATAGAAAATGAAAAAAATGGCAAATTTTCTATAATAAAAACTTTTTTTTTTGTTTTAAGATACAAAAACAGTGCATCGTCGTTTTCGAACCAAAAAATTTTTTTAAAAAAATTTTACAAGTTTTTTTTTATTATAAAACGGGGCAAAACAAAAGTCTGCTGCAATTTTACAGAAAATAAAACAAAAATTTATGCACGCCTGTGTTAAGTGAGGGGCACGATTTGCACAGCAGCATATTATGCGTGTGTGCGTGTGTGCAAATCATCATAATCGTCATAATACTAATAATAATAAATACGTTCTTCTTTAAAAAAAGAAAAAAGGCCAAAAGAAAAGTTTTCGTATTTCCTCATTAATTTGAGGCAGTTTACGATAAGCGCTAAGTCAAATATCAACGTCTTAAGGTTTAAACGCGCGCGTTAAACAATTTTTTTGGTCTGATTTCTACTTTCTGCTTTTCGTTTATTGTTTTCTTTTCTTTTTCGTGAGATATATGCGAAGAAATTGCATGCCCGTCGCTTAAGCGAAATTAGAAGTACCACGGGTCTTCTATACAAGTATACTTCCTTCATACTACCAATCGTCACGGTAATCATTACTAAAGTAACTATAATCACAAGAGCAATATCATCAAGAGCAGCTGAAAAGACGACAACAACGATAGACCGGTTCAAAAAATATGGAAGATTATTGGGGATTAAGTTATACAAACGGTACATAATTGAAGTAAAAAATTTAAAGAAAAATATTTACATTTTTTAAGCAAAGGTATAAATTATTTTTTTAAAACAAATTAATCAAAAAAGATATTCGTCATTTTTTTAAATCAATGAACAATAAGAATATGTTATTTATATAAGCTTTACTGAATTATGCTTCAACGCCACGAAAAAAAAAAATATATATATATTTTTATCTACTTTAGTTTACTGACTATATACTCTGGGAAATTTACTAAGCGGGCTTAAAATAAAAGCGAATAATATACTCTAAGATACCCTCACGATAAAATTAAAAAAAAGAAATAATTCTCCTAATTAAGTTGATCAAAATACCTTTTAGGAAATATATGACATCCACTTGATGAAGCGAAGATTATTTAAATATTATTTTAATTAAAAGTTACCCCGATTTTTCTTATACACATAAGTACATAAATATAAATATTTTGAAAACTTTAAAAGGAGATATTGTAATCGGTTTAGATCGAATTCTTCTGTACCTATCACTTTACTTGTTTTCATAAGGCATATGCTTTACCAAAAATATTTTACAGCACTGCGAACGTACGTGCTATGTAAGAATAAACATCCAGTGACATAACTGCAATTTAGTATGTATATGGATGCAGCGCTTACATAAAAATGTGCCGTGATATGTTAATTGTTACAATCAGCTAACGCACATATATGTTCTACACTCAACACAAATTATGTAAAAAAACGGTGCTTTCTGAAGACTGCCTGCCCGATGTGCGTAGGGTAGGTAGTGTCGTAACATATAAACATTTCAACAAGAACATAAACGGATCGATTGGCCTTTTATTCCGACCAAAAGTGGGTATACGTATGATCTTCCTATTCAGCCAGTAAAATACGTTTTCTAAAAATTACAGGAATTAAATTTAGTAAACAGTAGGATTTTTTGAAAAATGCTTTTATATCAATATTGTTTTAAAACTCTTAAACTGTTTAAAAAGCATTAACTTTTTAATTTTCATTAGTATACGAAATATTGTTAAAAGAGAAAAAACAGTAACAATTGCTTCAATTGTATTCAAAAAAAATTTTTTCAGTACATATAGTTTAATTAATTGTACTAAACTTCGCTTTTTCGATTTCTCGATTTTTTTTCTTTTTGCGTATGTGGCTTGTTCAACGATTTTATTGAAACTGCATATCAAAGAAATTTTTTATTCCTTTTTCAAATTCTAATAATGCCATGTAATGGGTAAATATAATTCGTTACGAACGTTTCCGCTTCTTGTATTTCTCTATTTTTCTACCAGAGTAAAACATTGGGAATATTAAAGGCTTGTTAAGCTAGTTAATCTGACCATTTAACAAGACAATATTGTGAGCGAAATAGTTGCTGCTAAGTGATTTTAGGTTAAATTTAGAATAATTTACAAATTTGATTTTTAAGTAATAAGCTGCACCGCGAAAAAGTGGATTATGTTCAATATTCATACTTCTTTGATGGGCCTATAGAGGAGTAAATTTCTTAGTTAAAACCGAAAAGTTTTTTTTATTTCGAAACTTCGCATACACGTTTATATTATGTTTGTGTAAAACAATCTCGTTCAGCCACTTTTTTGAGGAAGTGCTTACTGCGTATTTCTTATTTCACCTACTTGGTTTATTTAGTTATTCAATGCTGAACTTTAATTAATTTTAACTTTGTTAAGTTTGTTTTTGTTGTTTATTTACAAAGCGTTAGCTGTAGAGAATATGATTTTTATTGTGGGCATGTGGATACCGTAGTTAAATGTTTAAAAGTAATTAAGAATTACATCCTAATCATTTGTTCTGCTTTTAATTTAGTAAGTCGTTAGGCAGCAGAATAATATAATAAAGATCAATAAAATAATATTTTAAAAACGGGTTTTGTTGTAAATTTGACTTTAATCGTTTTGAGCACTGAATCTCTTGTTATAAATATATTAAAGGTGTTCCGTAGGTATCATTGAGGCAATTGAAATAATTATATATATATATATATATATACATAATGTACGTTTGTATGTATATTTTAATGTTTATCTTTTATTGTTATTTGTTGCGTTTAGCAACATTTTGTAAACAATTTGAACCCACTGAAGCGGTAAAATGATAACAAAACATGTTCAAAAAAAAAAGGTGATATATGCTTAACTGTACTTATTTTTAAAGAGAATAATAACGAAATAGATTAAAATTAAAAAAAGTAAATAAATAAAATGAGTAAGCAATCTATATTCGTATTGGAGCCAATTTTGGATAAATGTAGTAACATACCAGGTGAAAATATGAGCATCACGGATAGTTCAGGACTATTTGTGCACAAACTGTTTAATCAGATAAGTGCTTCGAAGTATGTTCGCACATTTCAATATAAAGAAGCGAAGCGTAAAAGTAAATTTTTTGCATGTTCATCTGTAGGAGATATAATTATAATCAAAATATATGTAATGAAGAAAAAGGTAAAGGATATAGTAAAAATTCAAATATCAACAAATTTTTGACAAACAAAACAGTCAAATCAAAAATGTTTCATAATTAGAGCGGCTGATCAACCCTTTCGATAAATTATAGAATGAAGTGAATGTAAATGTACACGTTAGACAAACATTGAATAATAATTAAAGCAACAGTTGTACAGCGTCGCACATTTTGTGACTCCGAAAGGAAACGTAAATAAAAAACACTTCTTAGATTTAGATCAACTTTTTCCCAAACGTATATGGTTTGGACCTTGCCATTACTTGTCAAATACAAAATATACATAGTTGTACGGTATGCTAAAATTGTTGAAATCCATTATGAAACAATGAACTCACGTTTAAGCTGCATACTTGTGGGATTTGTAAATAAGGATTACGGTTTCTTTGGTGCAAAGAAAACACATCTGGTGTTCCTGAATGGCTTTTAGGTGTTCAAAAATTTCTTTTTGGGTGTGTCTTGTGAGCCAAAAATGTCAGCTTTGTACATAAAAATGTCATTGTAGTTACCGTCAATGGAAAACGCCAGGGAAACGTGATAAGTGTTGTTTCGCGGCAAAATTTAGATGATTTCGACTTGGACGATAAATGGCTTCTATGAAATGTTACGAAAAGCCATACATGTTGTAAAAAAATCAATTTATTATGACAAAAGTTCAGTGATCGTGTAAGCTGTTAGAACGCATATGCGAGTTTGCTATAAAGGTTGTGCGATGCAAGTCAATTGGATTACTTATTTTGGGGGTTATGTTGAAGCATTGGCTTATAACAATAAACCCCGAAATCTCGATGACCTCATTTAGCAAAATTATTTGTATTGTTGGTGAGATAAAAGCAGATTTATGTGGAAAAGTGACAAAAATTGATTGTCCAGAATTGTATTTTTACACTAGATCAGATATGGTCGTTTATGTGAAATCATTTTTATTTAAAAATGGCATGAACTGATGTATAAAGTGAAAGAAAATTTACATTAATAGCTTTTGCAGTTTAGTTTGTAGATTACAAATCAAAAAAAAAAAAAAAAAACACTTGGTTAATGACGGTACATGAAAATATTTTAGTCGGCTTGAATAGATCGATTCCTGTATTACTTATCACAGATCTCAGAAGAAAGTGAAGTATATTTCGAAAACATGAGCATGTTAATTAGCAAATGCAATGTAACGTATACATTAGCAATGTTTGTAAACATATAAGTTGCTGTAAGTTTATTATCTTTACAACTTAAAACTTAGAAAGCGTGACATATGCAATTGTATAGCGGCATGTTACCCCAAAGTCATGTACTTAAAAAAGATAACTTAATAGAAAGATTACTTTACAAAAAACACTAAGAAGTCAATTTCTCGTTCTGCCATTTTAGGGGAACTCCGGCTTATAAACATAACGACGAAACGAAAAAAGAAGTATTTGACACCAGTTCGATGATTCCAGACAAAGAATTGAATTTATAATCATGGTTTCAAGGTAGACATTTCGACAGGCAGGCAAGCGTAAATCAATTCTACTGTTAACGCTGATCAAGAATGTGTGCAGTTTATGACGCCTTCGCTAGGTATTGCGGTGCGTTAAGAAAATTTCACGTAATTTAGAATTGATTTTCCTTTTACGAATCTAAGATTTAAGCTATAAAACTATTGAGTCAAAAATTGAGATGGTATTTGCATTTCTACTTCATTTGATGAATTTTACAAAAAAAAAAAAAATAAATAAATATGATATCACATTATGTTCATAAGCATATGCTAAAAGATGAAGTGGGAGATTCTCCTGAAAGAAGCATAAAGTAATTTCGACTTTTAAGCATTTCCATTTATTCGCATGATTTGGAACTTGCTGATTTTCTTTTAAATTTTCTATCGCTATTTTAAACGGGCGCATTCAATAATAATTTTTTTTTATTGTTATTAAAATTTTTTAATGTCAGTTCAATATGGGTGTCTGTTAACTCTGCAAGTTACTAAGACGATTTTATAAAAGAAACATTAAGGTTAAGGATGATTCCAGAAGACTCACCCGCACTATATATTCGTTAACGCTCGTTAATTCGTTAATTTTCTTGCAAATAGGGGTGCGTCATTTGGCTGATCTGAACCATTTCCACATTACATTATTGCAAATGGCTTTTGGATATACTATTCCCAAATTAAAGATACGTACGCGCCCTCGCATATTAACGATAAGCATTTGAATGGCTGCTGCGGCATCTATAAAATTATTTCAGTTTTGCGGACATATTTGGAGATAAATCATTTCTATTTCAAGTTTTGCTTCCAATTTTGACAGACATTGCAAATTGCAACACAGGTAGACCGACGAGCGGTATAGAAAACTTTATGCATTTTGTGACGTTTCTCACAATTAAATATTATTATTCATCTATATTGCAAGTTTTAATTTTATAAATCGTTTCTGTAAGCCGGAAATTAAGAAAAATAAAGGCTTAGACATCGATTTACAATTTAAAGATAAAAAAAAAATAAATAAAATTTTTTCGCTATTAAACGAAGC